CCGGGCTGGGGATTCGAACCCGCCACCTTAGGTGTACGTGGCTGGCGCCTTAGCCGGTTGAGCTATAGGCGCCGAGCCTAATTCATTATTCTTTATTTAATTTCTTATGCTTTTTATAACTTCTGTCCTATCTTGAAGTTATTGCAATAGCAAGAATCAGTGTAAGACAGGGATTACTGTCACCTTCCTCAGAGAATAACCATTGGATAAGAAGTAAAAACCCACTTTTTCACCCCAAGCAAGCATGTATATTAGGGATAAAACAAAATCTATCTCTGTTTTCTTCTTCCTATTAAGTGAAATGAAATGGTGGTTTCTTTTGATGTATTCAGTTCCAGCTAAATCATGATCTCTATAGAGAAAATGGGAAAAGATAAGAATGATTTTGTTTATGGTGAACTAGAAAGTTAATGATGAGAACAGTTACCACTGTTTTTTCACTCAAGACAATCTAGGAGATTGTATGTCAAAAAAAGGATGACAATGCAATTATGGCACTTACTTAGTGATCGTTTTTTATCTTTTTCCCTGAAAGTTAGTATGACAATTCTTGAAAGTCCCATAGGAAGGCATAAAAGAGGTGATGATGTTTGTCAGTAACAAGGCAGATTATGCTAGTGTTTAAAACAAAGTCTAAACATACTTCCTTTGCTTTCATGAAAATTATGCTGCTGGATGGGGCTAGATTACAGTAGAAAGTCATTTAGCTGGATATGGTGGGTTCCCTAAGATCAGTTTTGTGTTTTTTTTTTACAGTTTTTGGCTGGGGCTGTGTTTGAACCCGCCACCTCTGCCTTATGAGGCCGGTGCCCTACTCCTTCGAGCCACAGGCGCTGTCCACCTAAGATCAGTTTTGTTTTGTTTTTCAGAATCAAGGTCAATTTTTCTGTTTTGGCATTGATGTGTAAAAATAGGCACAGAGACCATGAACCAGATCTTAATGGTCACAGTGGCCATGATTGCTCCCAATAACTGCTACTGGAAACACAAGAATGAATTTTCATTTCTTTTCCACTTTTTCCTATTTAGGTTGATACATTGGGAATTAGGGAGGAAGTGTAGTTCCTATAGTTAAAAACGTGAAACATGATTCTCCCTCATATTTGTGCATGTGCGTGTGTCACAGGGTACGTGTGTGTGTCCAGGTGCACATTTAACAGAAAAAGACATGTACCCGGCAATAAAATGGAAGCCATTTTCCAGAAATATTTTATAGGAAACACGGGATAATACTGCTTGAATATATTGTATCTCTTAGATTCTTCCATGTATTCCAGGTTCCAGCTTCATTACCGTTTGAGGAGTTGGCTCTCTATCTAGGGTTACAGCCTCATTACAGTAGCCTTTTCATCACCCGCCACTCTTCACTACTCTAGCACATCACGTGTGGAGCAGATACAGAGCACAGCGTAGCGTTGTCCACCACTCTTCTGCAGTGTTCCCTTTATCTAGTGGACTCTAAGGCATTCCTTGTCTAAAGCTCTTATTTGTTCCTATAGGTAGATTGCATTCTCCCCTTTTAGGGTAGTCTTGGATTTCCTTTCTAGAGTAGTTCTTTCTGCTAAGTTGCCATGTTCTGCTGAATTAAAAATGTTTCTATTTTGTATCCTCTTGGTCCTGCTTCCTACTTGAACACCTTATCATCCTCGGCTCTCCAGCCAGCACTGTCTTGTTATAGGAAAAAGTATCTTTGCTATAGTTCTTAAATATATAGACACTTTTCAAGTTACAGATGCATTTTTCAATTTGATTTTGTTTGTAAATGAACTATATTTATTGTATTTATATGTAAACGTAACAAAATTTAATTTGTTTACATATTTCTTTAGAAACACTGTTAAAAGACCTGTAGATTCTAGGGTGACCCACAATAGCCGTTTTATCCCCTGATATTTCTGAAGCACAGTAGTGTAGAATAGAAGTTCTGTTTATGTCTGTGCAAAACACATTTAAAGTTTCTATGTTTGATGGGACTCTAAATGTGTTTCCCACTTCACCCGTGTGTCCAACCTTCCCTCACCATGCCGATCCTCACAGGAGGAGGGTTTTCTTCCCAAACCTTTAACCGTGTCTGTCCTACTGTAGAAACAAGGAATGTATATTCCTAAGCCAGTGGTGATGGAGGTCAGCAAAGGAGAAAGGACAAGAAACATGAATTTTAATGAATATTGGTTTTTGTCTTCTCACTCTCCCTGCATATTTCTTTGTTTTTCCCAGTTCTGAGAAAGAAGAAAGCAATTGATTCTTTCTCTGTTGGATCTATTCCCTTCTTTTTTCTTTTCTTTTTTTAAATGTAAAGATGTTGATTCTGAGCCAAATATGTGTGACTATGGCCCAAAGAGCCACCTCCAAGAAACCTTGAGCAAGTGGTCTTGCCATAGATGGCTTACGGTTTGGTTTAACACATTTTGGGGAGATGGTAATTACATGTAAAGTCATAAATCAATATGTGGAAGGCACACATTGATTTGGCCTAAAAAGGCAGGACATCTCAAAGCAGAGCATTACAGGTTGTAAGTGGGTTTAGAGATTCTTTGACTTTTTAAAAATTTCACAGCTTTATAGGGGTTACATTTTGGTTACATAATTTGCATTTGTACCTTTTAAGTCAATGTTGTAAGTATGCCTTTCCCTTAGAGTATGTGCATTGCACCTGTTAGGCGTGGGCTTACTCTACCTATCCCCCCCTTCTTTTCTTTTTTCTTTTATTTGTCTTCATTTATTGCCTCTCTTCTTTTTTCTCTTCTTTCTGTCTTATCTGGGTAGAAGAAGAAGTGAGTGAAGTTCTCTCATGGAAACAGCCAAGCAGAACTTTCTTTATTTGCTTTTTCTTTTCTTTCCACCTCCTTCTAGCCTTAAGGAATATAAATAATTAAGCCATGTGAATGTATTGGTGTGTTTGCATATGCAAGTCACCAAAAATGATTACACAGTAAACAAATACACTAAATTGAAGCAATTAATGACATTTGTTCTTTTCCATTATTGGCAATAGAAAAATATTTTATCTTTACTGCCAAAACTGATGTTAATCTTTTTAAATTAACTTTGAACAGTTTTAATTATTTGCATTTTAAAATATTTTTTGGCTATTCTAGAATGTATTTCATGATTCTCTAAAGCTTCATGCATCTGCCATTTTTCACTTAATGATAAGAATTATCAGTAGTTTTTATTTTAATGGACAATATCCTAAAAAGAGGTGAAAAAATTACTTTATCTTTAACGTTTTCACCCATTTAAGAACATGCTTCCTTTGCCATGGTCTTGTTGTTGAATCATAAACTCAAATTTCTACACTGCTATTTTGACTAGTTCTATTATTTGCTTGGACGTGTATTTTTTTCAGTTAATAAACTTTATTTTTTAGAGCAGTTCTAAGTTAATAGCAAAATTGAACTAGCGTAGAGAATTCTCAAATATTCCCTGGTCCCACACAGATAGCCTCCACTACGATCAACATCCGGCACCAAAATGGTACTTTCATAAGGCCCAGTAATTTACATTTTGACCAAACAGTGCATCCTCACAACTAAGAAGGGTGATTTTTTAAGAAAGCTTCATTTTAACTGAGGTATTATTTTGGAGAGATTTGTTTGAGAAGTAATAGCATGTTTGTTGTTTTGCCCTACTTTTTACTTGATTATATTATTTTAGTTTTGAGGTGGAGTCTTGCTTTGTTGCCCAGAGCTGGAGTGCAGTGGCACAATCATAGATCATTACAGCAACCACTAGGTTCAAACACTCTCCCTGCCTCAGCCTCCCAAGTAGCTAGGATTATGCATGCAACCATACCCAGCTAATTCTTTAATTTTTTGTAGGGACAGGTTCTCACTATGTTACCCCAGCTGCCACTTGATTATTTTAATATTTTACAGACATGGCTTAACTTCATATTGCATTTTTCAGATTTTTTAAACTTTGTATTTAAATCTTTGGGAAAATTTTAGTGACTTTCTGATTCCATGTCAATACATATATTTAGAAAAAAAATTACAATGTAGAATTATTGCTCTTGACTTTTAAGGATCATATTCTCAGTATTGATAGCTTTATGTATTGCTAATTCTTTTATCTGTATTGTGTTTCATTTAGTCTACTGATGGAGAATAATTCAAGGCAAAGGTATATTTTGCAAACCTAGGTTTTCAAGCCGTCTACAAATTGAGGGTTATCTAGGAGTCATAATTATTGATATCAATCATAAAAGTGA